CATAGAACTGGCTATGGTAGTATACAACAGTCCTGAACTAAGCTGTCTGTGAGGTGTTAGCAGTCTGTCAACCAACTAATCAAAAGTAAAACTAAATTATGTTGCAGATGTATGAACAGTGGAAATTGTTGTGTTTACAGTTGAGCACCAACTGGAACCTATCCTTCCCTCAATCCAACATTCCGATGAGCATCAATGAGCAGCAGTGTCTTAGGTGTGCAATGTCGGCCCACCCCTGTGCCCCAGGTGCATGCTTATGACCAGGCTTGCCCGTTATTTATCCTCGCGTGCAACGAGCCGTACCATCAACTGATCTGGCTGATCAAGAGGCTATTTAAGGACTGCCCCCAAGGTCGCTCAGGAATTATTTAACATCGCAATCTAGACGACGATCACAACCAGTGGACAGATCGGAACCCCAACCAGAAATGTTTATAGACGGTCTGGGAGCGTCTGCATAAGCCTGTTCAGTCCGCACACCCCTCTATCAGCGCAGCAAAGAGCCCCAATGGACAAAGCAGCCATCACATGCGTGTACTAATCCCATTGGGTTGGCATGGTGACCGTGGCCCACGTGCTTCAACCAGGGCCGTTCAGAGACACTGCCCCTTTCTCCTTCCAGATGCGCCACCGGGAAGATTGTCGTCTCTCAAGGTAGAGCGCTCATGGCACCTCACCAAAAAGAGAGGACTCTAAAGTTGGACTCACTTCCTCACGGTAAGAAGAGATTGAGAGGGTAGATAAGGTAAGGAAACAAAGTACCTGAAGATAGCTGCTCCCAACCACAGATTTCTCACCAATTGAGCTGAATGTGCATTTGATGACCGGTCGTAGCCTCGGTACCACCCACAACGCAATGCAGTGCCACCTCAGSCAAATRCCACATCASCATGCTCTCATCAMCRTACATACATTCYGTTGTCKSCACARCGTCCCAAGCTGTATAGCCATCCAGCGCGCACCCCTCTACCCGGGTCGCGYGCTATTTYGCCTGACGTCACAAGCACCWACTGCGAAGAAGCATCGTCAACGCACCAAGTCTGTATGTCGCCAGCGCACAAGGTAAGCGGCGAATCGAACCAGCTCCGATACCAAATTGCAAGGAACATGAGTGTGAACGAAGTACAGAA